CATAAAAAAGAGGATATGCTTGTGTTCACACCTCCTCAGGTCCTCTCTGGATTCCAGCACAATGCATCAAACCTTACCATGGTGTGGCTGAGACCCAACACGGTTCCAGAAATGAGGAACTGACCCTACAGCACCTGTTATTCCCATGCGGTCTCCCATTCAAGTACTAACCAGGCCTGGCCCTGCTTAGCTTCTGAGATCAGACAGAAACAGAAAGATTGGAGAGAGAAATCATGGGAAAGAATAAGAGAGAGACTAGAAGAAACAGATATCAGAGAGAGACACAAAAAGTAAGACAGGAGAGAGATAAAGTAGGAAGAAGAGAACAAAATGTTAAGAATGTTATAAGAATGCACCTTTAGTGAGGAAGGTTAGAAAACAAAGTCAGAAAGTTAAGAAATGCCAGAGATTGTGAAAGTCATGAAAAATGTTATAAAAAGAAATGTATAATTTTTGTTTTGAAGGTCTAAGAAAGTTTTAAAACGTTAACTGTAAAAGAAATTCTGTCTGTAAACATATTGGCTAAAGTTAAAGAAGTATCCAGTTTTTCTATAAACTAGACATTAAAGCACAACAGGTTTTTCTTAAAGTACTAACCTGTTCTTTAACAAAGATTATAAGTTCTCCTACTGAGCACAGGCACCACTCCTAGAATTTCCAGTACACCAGCACCAGCCTGGAGACTATGTCCTCATCAAAGGATGGAAAGAATAAAAACTCAAACCAGCCTAAGAAAGACCCTACAGTTCCTGCAGCCCCGTACAATGCGGATTCCACAAGCCCTGAACATTATGCTGAAGAAGGCAACTCAGTAGGCTAAGCAAATCCTACTCTAAACCAAATACCATTCACTCCTGATAATTTGTTCCTTTTTTATTCTCTCACTCTGCCTGCAACATGTACTTGCTACACTCTATTCGAGCCTATCTTCTAATCTGCCCTTTCCCCCCTGTTACTTAAGCAGGCACTCCCTTCCCAGCCTCTAATGACAGGACTGCTTGGTTAGGAGGAATTAACATACCCCTAGTGAGTTCCTTAGCAATGGCACACATCAGACTAAGGTGTCAGGTCACTCCTTGGTTGGAAAAGAATGTCACTGATTATGCTTATGTCTGTCTTATGTTATTTATTAATTCTAGGATGCAAAGCCAGAATAAGAGCAATGACCACCTTGACTAACAGACCTGCTACTGAACACATCTGTACTCTTCAATCAATAAAGCCAGATGCCAAAAAAAAAAAAAAAAAAAAAAAGAAAAAGAGGAGATGTGGGAGTTCAGTTAGGTTGGTGGGAAAAATTTTAGAGGAAAAATTATAGGAAATAGTCGCAAACCTTCTTGGAAAGCTGGGGGATTTGCATAGCTTCAGTAAAAGGTTTGGCTGAAGACAGCTGAATTCTTTAAAAAGCTTAGGGCTTAGAAACATAGGAATGTAGAGGAGTTTATCTAAATAGCTTGTTTACTCATGTGGTCTTAAGACCCTTTGATTATCCAAGGGTGCTTGATTGCTCTCAACTCAGGAGGCCAGCAATGTCAATTACCCTCTAGTGATGTTTACTCAAGACCTTTGCCATTTAATCTGTACTAAATAAAACAACTTTGCTGGCTGATTGGTCTGCAGCTACTAACTCTTTATCAGACCCTTCTCAGTATAGGTTAGCCAGACTGCCAGGCAAAATATCTGTGTCAGTGTATGTTATTCATCTGCCATGCAAGCCTGGGTCTGTGGGTTGGACCCCAGCAGTAAACTGCTTTGAGCTACTAAGTAGCTCAGAGTCTCACAGATGTCAAATCTCACTGTGTTTCTCTTGGAAATTAAAAATATTCATTTCCTGTGAGTTCACTGGAGCATCCCCTGCAGGCAGTTTAGGAACCACTGCCCTAGTGCATAGAAGTTCATTAAATATTTGTGTAGTTCAACACAGTAAGAATGTTTGTATGGTAATTTACACAAAAATTCAATTAAGATATTGTTTTGTAAAGAGAAAAAATAGTTTCAAAACTGGCATTATGGCTCATGCCTGTAATCCCAGTACTTTTGGAGGCCGAGGCGGGGTGGATCACAAGGTCAAGGAATCGAGACCATCCTGGCCAATATGGTGAAACCTCGTTTCTACTAAAAATACAAAAATTAGCTGGGTGCGGTGGTGGGTGCCTGTAGTCCCAGCTACTCAGGAAGCTGAGGGAGGAGAATCACTTGATCCCAGGAGGCAGAATTGCAGTGAGCCAAGATCGCCACTGAACTCCAGTCTGGTGACCGAACAAGACTCTGTCTCAAAACAAAACAAAACAAAACCTGGCATCATCAAATTTTTCAGCCAGATAATATTTTGGGCTTGCAGGCCATACAGCATCCATAGCAACTACTTGACTTTGCCATTGCAGCATCAAAGGAGACATAGATAAAACATAAGTGAATGGGCATCACTGTGTTCCAATACAACTTTATTAACAAAAACAGCCAGCTCATAGGCTGTTTGCTGACATTTGTTATAAAAAGTCCTTTAAAAATGTATAGCTTCCACACTAAAGTTAGTAAAAAGTTATAAACAAAATGTGAGACCAAATACCATAAGTCCATATTGATACAAATGAATGAATAAATTGAAATTTTTATGAGGAATGAGATTACAAAGGGAAGAAGAGAAACTTCACAAAGAAAAGCTTGGCAGAAATCATCTTGAAGTAAGCATCCTCAATAAAGAAATATGAATAACATGTTGTAGGACATGCTGGGCTAAGATGCAATAAGAATACAAAATCCCTACTATGTTATTAATGCCAAAACCTATAAGTAAAAACTAATCAGGATGAACCCAAAAAATCTGAATTGAGGGTCATTCTACAAAAAACCTGACCTATAATTTTCATAAATATCAAAGTCATGAAAATCAAAGAAATATTGAGGAATAGTTCCAGAAAAATGACTTTAGACACATGACAATAAAATTCATCTATATGTATTGCATAATTCTAAACTGCATCTTTTTGCTCTAAAGAACAATATTGATATAACTGGTAAACGTTGAATGTGGTGTGAGAATCAGATGCTAGCAATTTTTCAATGTTTCTTGATTTTGTTTTTATATTGTGGTTATATAGAAGAATGTCTTTGCTTATTGAAATTACACATTGAAGTGTCCATGGTTGCTGGGAAATCAAGTCAACAGCTTACTTTCAATAGTTCAAGAAAAAGAAAAAGACTTTTTACTGTACACAATCTTTTTATAATTTTGAGATTATTTCTAATTTATTTCTAATTTTTAAAAATTAAACGGTAGTGGAGCAGATATGCTTTATAAGTGCTAATGTATATTTATATCCTACATGTAAATATATAATCTATATATATCCTAAATATATGTGACCTATATATTTATATACTTTATAGCTATCAATGCCGTACATTTAGCAGAACTGTGGTGCTGCTCCCATTCTGGGTATCTTCCCCCATTTCCTTACCAGGCAAACACACCCTTTAGAATGCACAAGGACAATAATTACACACAGTATCATTTGCCTTTATTTAAGGCATGGAAGTCAGATACATTTCATTCAGTCAACAAGCCTTTATTAATCATTATTAAGTTAAACTACATTCTCAGTAGTGTGTGAGATAGAGAAGGAATGGTAGTAAGCATTTAAAGAATATCTGTATGTGCCAGGCAAAAAAGAAGAATGATTTCTACCCTTAAAGACTATACATAGTTTGGGTAGACAAGACTGACAAATGAATTCACTATTAGGAAATACCATAAAATTAAGTACTAATTTATATAAATGGGTTAGCGCTATATCTTACCCCACTCATCTCAACCACATCAGAAAGAGTAATTAAGGAGTAGCACAGATGCTTAATTAAGAAAGACATGGGAGATAAGGGTAAAGAGTCACCACAAAAGTATGAACAGTATTGACACTACAGAGCTGAATTAACTGAGAGGACAAAGAACCATAGCTCCATCATGGAATAGAGAGAGGTGAGCCCTAGAAGACTTCTGGTATCCATCAAATCACCCACACTTTTACCTATTAGCTAGACACCTTAGAGGTCCGCAGTATTGCTGATGCAGAAATGAAAACTGCACACATTGTGAAGCTGATATACAAAGGAGTAGGTCAGTTGGCAGTTGCATAAACCTAGCTGATCATCAGAATTCACATGAAAATTAATTAGCAGTCCAGAAGAGAGGAAATAGGTAGAGGCTTAGGATATTTTTCTAGGTCAGAGGCTATCACACTAAGATGATTAAAATGTGTTTTCTGATAAACAATAAACCTGGTCAAATAAACAAGTGTATTTAATTACAGAACATCTTGGAGCCTATAATATGCTAAAAAGAGAGGGCTATTATGCACAGCATTTCACTTAGGACAGAAGCCATATTAAAACATCTAAATGTAGAAAATAACATAGAAATACAATGAATAAAAAGAGGTAGCTTCTTTGGGAGGTATAACATCAACAATAACAATAGCAACTACATACAAATGCTTCCTAGGAGCCTCACAGTCCTCTAAGGTGTAGTACTTTATCTTCACAACAACTCTATGATGTAATTCTGATCCCCATTTTACTTGAAGGAAAATGAGGTATGCAAAGGTTAAGTACACTGGCAACTGTCTCTGGCTAGGAAGTGGTCAAACCAGAATTCAGACGCAGGCAATCTGGCTCCGGTGCCCATGCTCTTAACCATTACACTATGTAACTTAATGAAATTCTCATTCATTTCAAAATAAATTCTTAGTTAAATATTAAGCAAGAATGAAAAACAAACATAATAATTAAACAGAAGGCTAGAAATTTCAAAAGTCCTGTTCAGTCAAACTGGGGATGGGGTCAGGTGGTAAAAACTCTGTAATTGTAATTATGAAGTATATAATCATGATAACCCATAGTTCGTTAAAATTAAGATACATTTCAAGCAAAGAATATGCACCCCAATATCTTAAACCACACTAAAGAAAACAACATGGTGACCACTTTGGAAGGGTTCTCACCGTGATTCTCTTCATATCTAGCTGGCGCAGCTGCATCATATTCTGAAGGACAGTGTGTTTGTACCATGACTCTTGAGCTATGGGATTGCCATCAAAAGTGATGTCCGAGAGGGAAGAAGAGTCAGCAAGGCAGGAAATACTGTCAAAACTGCAGAAGAGACAGAAAGCACTGGATTATTATGAGACCTTTAAATGATAGTTACATTTTTTTTTTGAGATGGAGTTTCACTCTTGTTGCCCAGGCTGGAGTGCAATGGTGCGATCTTGGCTCACCACAACCTCCGCCTCCTGGGTTCAGGCAATTCTCCTGCCTCAGCCTCCTGAGTAGCTGGGATTACAGGCATGCACCACTATGCCCAGCTAATTTTTTTTTGTATTTTTAGTAGAGACGGGGTTTCACCTTGTTGACCAGGATAGTCTCGATCTCTTGACCTTGTGATCTTGACCTGCCTCGGCCTCCCAAAGTGCTGGGATTACAGGCTTGAGCCACCGCGCCCGGCCTGATAGTTACATTTTTTAATAGACTTTATTTTTAGGATGGTTTTAGATTTACAGAAAAATTGAGAAGATAGTACAGAGAGTTCCCATATACTCCATACCCATTTTCCCCTATTGTCAACATCTGGTGTTAGTATAGCACATTTGGTACAATCAATCAACCAATGTCAACATATTCATATTCTTAGTAGCTAAAGCCCGTATTTTATCCAGGTGTCCTTAGTTTTTACTTAATGTCCTTTCTCTGTTCCAGGATTCCTTTGAGGATACCATATTACATTTAGTTATCATATCTCCTGAGGCTCCTCTTGGCCGTGACAATTTCTCAGACTTGTTTCTGATAACTTAACAGTTTTGAGGAATACTCATCAGTTATTTTGCAGGATGACCCTCTATTAGGATTTGTCTGATATTTTTCTCTTGATTAGATGGGGGTTAAGATACATACAATTTTTTTTTTTTTTTTTTTTTGAGACTAGGTCTCACTCTGTCACCCAGGCTGGGCTTCAATGTTGCTATCATAGCTCACCAATGGCCAAAGTTGGAACAAGTTGAATAACAAAATAAGCAAAATTGCACTGGATAATAATCCAAAGTATAAAATGAATATCCATGAGTCCAGAGTCTCTGTCCTCAAGGAGGAGGAGCTTAACTTCCCACTCCCTAAGTGTGAGCTGCACATGGTGACTTCCTTACAAATCGTTTGACCTCAGACTCTTGGGCTCAAGCAATCCTCCCACGTCAACATCCCCGAGTAGTTGGAATTACAGGTGTGTACCATCATGCCTGGCTAATGTTTTACTTTTTATTTTGTCTACAAAAGAAAAAGGGTCTCACTATGTTGCCCAGGCTGGTCTAGAACTCCTGCTCAAGCAATCCTCCCACCTTGGCTGCCACAAGTGCATGAGCCACTATGCCCAGCTGGTACATATTATTAATATGACTTATCACTGTTGATGTTGACTTTGATCAATATGTTTAAGGCTGAGACTGAGGTCATGTTCTTCAGGTTTCCCCAGTGTAAAGTTACTATTATAGCCTCTCCTTTTCATACTCAACGATTTGTAAGGCAGTTACCATGTGCAGCTCACACTTAGGGAGTGGGAAGTTAAGCTCCTCCTCCTTGAGGACAGAGACTCTGGACTCATGGATATTCATTTTATACTTTGGATTATTATCCAGTGCAATTTTGCTTATTTTGTTGTTCAACTTGTTTCAACTTTGGCCATTGGAAGCTCTTTCAATGGGCTCCTATGCCCCTTTGGCTCCCATCAATGTGGATTTTTTTTCTTTTTCTTAGCATTTTCTTACTTTCTGGCACTAAGAGATTTTCTAGACTCATGTATTTTCTAGACTAATTCCTGTCCTGGTCCTAGAAGCCATTTCTGAGGGTCATAGTTCTTTTTATTGGCAACTAGTATTAGAAACAAAGATCTGGGGCTAAGTGTACTTCTTGCTACTGTGGGGTCATATCCTTTACTCTCTCTCAGCTGACACAGCAAGAATATATACGTGTGTACAGAAACTTGTGTATATGCATATCTATATAAATATTTCTCTAAGTAACTGTGTCTATATTAAGCTAAAGAGTTCATACTGATGTCTCCAACTCTAATCCATCACCAAATGAATCATTCTATCCTCCTTCCCTTGCTTACCTGAAAATTTCTACTCCAACAAGAAGTTTGGCTCCAAACCATCTGCTCTCCATTTACTTAATTATTCAATTCCAGTATGTATAGAGGTATCAGAATTTTTGATGTGTACCCCCAGTGAGAAACAACTTTATCAACTAAAGTACAATGATTAGGTGTAATTGCTTTTGCATTTAGTCTTACAGGCTCATTTCCAAAGTTTCTTAGATGAGTGCCTTTTCCCTCAACCCTTTAGGGAGGTTGTTTCATATATTTGTAATACAGTTAGATTCTCTTGTCAGTCTGTATTCCTTTCTGAGATCCTTTAAACTCCTAAATGATTTTTTAAATTTGCATATACTAAGGTTTACTTTTTATGATGTATATTTCTACAGGTTTTCACAAATGCATAATCTCATGCATCCACCATTAAAGTATCTTAGAGTAGTTTCATGACACTAGAAAAATTCCCTGTACTTTAGCCATTTGATCTCCTCTCCTCCTCCCAAATCTCTGGCAACCACTAATCTTTCTACTGTCACTATAGTTCTGCCATTTCTAGAATGTCATATAATTGGAATCGTAATCTGTAGCCTTTTCAGATTGACTTCATTCACTTAGTAATATGCATTTAAGTTTCAACCATGTCTTTCTGTGGCTTCATAACTCATTTCTTTTTATCACTGAGTAATATTCTATTGTATAGATGTACCATAGTTTCTTTAACCATTCACCTATTGAGGACATCTTGGCTGCTTCCAGTTTTTGCTGATTATGAATAAAGCTGCTATAAATATTCACCTGCAACTTTTTGTTTTCAACGGGGCATAGGTTTTCAACTGGATAAATAACTAAGAGTATACCTGCTGACTGTGTTTATTTTAGTTTTGTAAGAAACTGCCAAACTGTCTTCCAAAGTGGCTGTATCATCTTGTAATCTTAACACCACCCCTCCCTCACCAGCATTTGGTATTTGTGTTCTGGGATTTCAGCCATTCCAAGAGGTGTGAGGTGGTATCTCATTGTTTTAATATGCAATTCCCTAATGACAAAAGATGCTGGGCATCTCTTCATACACATACTTGCCATCTGTGAATCTTCTTTGTGTTTTCAGCATTTCAGCCCATTTCAAATTGGATTCTTTCTTTTCTTACTGCGGAATTTTAAGATTTTTTTAAAAATTTGGATACAAGTCTTTTATCAGATATATGTTTTGCAAATATTTATCCCAGTCTGTGGCTTGTCTTTTCATTCTCTTAACAGTGTCTTTCACAGGACAGATGCTTTTAATTTTAATGATGCCCAACTTAACAATTTTCTCTTTCATGGATCCTACTTTTGGTCTTGCCACTAAACACTAATTGCTAAATCCAAGGCTGTCTAGATTTTCTCCCAAGTTTTCTTTAGAAGTTAATAGTTTGGCTCAGTGCAGTGGCTCATGCCTGTAATCCCAGCATCTTGGGAAGCTGAGGTGGGTGGATCACGAGGTCAGGAGTTTGAGACGAGCCCGGCCAAGATGGTGAAACCCCATCTCTACTAAAATACAAAAATTAGCCAGGTGTGGTGGCCGGTGCCTATAATCCCAGCTACTTGGGAGGCTGAGGCAGGAGAATCGCTTGAACCTGGGAGGTGGAGATTGCAGTGAGCCAAGATCGTGCTACTGCACTTCAGCCTGGGTGACAGAGCAAGACTCCATCTCAAAACAAAAGTTTAATAGTTTTGTTTTCTACATTTAAGTCCCCGATCCATTTTGAGTTAATTTAGTGAAAGGTGTGTGGTCCGTGTCTATACTACTTTTTTTTCACATGGACATCCAATTATTCCAGTACTGTTTGTTGAAAAGACTATCCTTTCTGTATTGAATTGCTTCTGCTCCTTTATCAAAGATCACCTGACTGTATTTGTATGGGTCTATTTCTGAGCCTTTTATTTGGTTCTGATGATATATGTGTCTACTCTTTGACCAATACCACACTGTTGGGATTACTGTAATTTTATAAGGGATCTTTATTATGTAGCTTTGAAATGATTTAAACACTTTGTTTATTTACTACATGAATGACCCATGTTTTGCTGTGATAAGAACATGAAGAGTAATTCCTCTACTTGTGAGAATGTTATATCACTCCTCATCAGACCACATATGTGAGTTACTGGGCTGAACTACCAGACTCTAAAAACACATATAAACCCAAGATTTTGACAGACTGAGAACCTAAGCTTTGTCAGGGCTACTCTATGTCAGACACTTTTCCAAAGACCGAAATATAAGACTAGCAGTTACTCTCTGCCAGCCTTTGAACTATTCTCCAAAGCCCAGCAACACTGGCACTGCTTGCTAGTACTGAGGGACCTTGCATGTTGTCATGCATGTACACTTTGTTGATCAAACCATCTCTCCCAAAACCACTTACAGAAAGGTACTCTCCAAACTTTGACTAGACTTTACATCCACAGAGGCATGCTTCCATCCTAATTTAGCAAATAGACTTTAATAACTGGACTCTAAACTAAATTGGAACTCATCCACTATGTGGATATTCTACTTTATCTATGGAGTATATTCTCTGTGATATTTGTTCCTGTTATTATCCCATTCTTTGAGCATTATGAATAAAAATGATAAGCTCTTTGTATGGCAATAAACTGTGTGATTTGTGAAATCATACTTTGATCATCTGTTTATTTTAACTAAACAAAGTAGTCTTGAAAAAGGTTACCGTGAATCCTCCAACTTTATTCTTCATTATTGTGTCCCTATTCCAGGTCTGGCCTTTTCATATAAACTTTAGAATCCAATTGTTATCTATAAATAACCTGTGGGATTTTGATTGGGATTTTCATTTTTTAAAGAAATAATCACTTTTCTAAATAATACCACAGAGCACCTTGGTAAAACTCATTTATATTAGTCATTCTCATTCAGTACACAAATACTTTACAAATACTTTATTTATTTAGGCACTAAATTACCAATACTTTACAGTATTATAAAGTTTTTATTCAGGCACTAAAG